AAAACAACATAAAAACAAAAAAAAAAATTAAGTAAAAAAAAAAAAAAAAAGGGGGGGGGGGGGGGGGGGGGGAGTAGAGAAAAAAAAAAAAAAAAAAAAGAAAGAATCCAAAGGCTAAACATGATGAATATACACAAGTGAGCTCATTCTATACGGTTTAGCATGTATGGCGCTATTTGGGAGTGTAAATAGATAGATACCTTTCACATTATAATATTGGCCTGCATGATTCAAGTATTCAAACTGATATGTTTTGGGGAAAACAAAGTGGAAAATGTGCAGAGAATAGCTGTTCCCACAGGTGGCCCCTGGCTGCAGGCAGCGAGCCCAGCTTAGTGCTCCTTTCTTTCGCATCTTGAGGTCACAGTTTGTGAGTCTATGTCTACATGGTTACATGGACTCTCCACCCCCACCCAGGTGGTCAACAGAAAGAAAAGCATTAATGGGGGATGGGCTGCTAATTCCCCGGGGGTCACTGCTGCTTGGAGGCCCCCACAGGCTTGTGGAATAATGTGGGGTCCCCCAGAGTGAAGTGCCGTGAAGGTCTCCACAGTTAGTTCCCGACAGCCCAGCACCATTCCAGTGATTGAGATCGGTCCGGCTGGAGAAGGAGTGGGAACAGTCAAGGGAGCCCAGCCGGCTCTGGCTGGACCCAAGAGACTGCCAGCCAGGAGAAGGGGCCAGAGACTGACTTTGTGCAAAGAAACGACTGATCTCCTCTTCACTGGCAAACTCAGCAAGAATAGTAGTGTTCCCCAGTACACACCTAGAGGAGAGAGGCACAGCGGGCACGTGAGGACTTGACATGTTGGATTAATTCAAAAGTGAGAGTGAGAACACACTTGTTGATTGTCTGGGCCCTCTGGCAGGCCAGGGCGGGGCACAGCCCTCCCTTCATGGGCACTGCCATGGTGTGGCAAGATCAGGTGTCTCTACCTCCTGTGGGCAATATAAGGCATCTTCTAGGGCCCTTCTGAGCAGGTCTGTTCCCTCCCTGAGGAGTACCGACCTTAGAACACAGGGTCCAGGGAAGCTGCAGTCAGGAGCGTCCTGGGGCCCTGTGCTAGGGAACTGTGCTCTCCCTCATGTGCCTCCCCAGCTCTCCCAGTCACGGGCGGGATGGCCAACTTACATGTGCAGAGACTTTTGTGCCTTCACTACCTCTTCTTTTGAACTGTAACGGACCAAAGCATTTCCATGTGGGAGGTTCAGGTGGAATGTTATCAGTGGGCCATGCTGCATGCACAGAGTACGCAGAGTTGAGCCATCAATCTGGGAAGCAGAGGGTGAGAACCGCCCATTAGGCGCGGCATCACGGGGCCACTCAGGGAGTCGGCTCTGGTGTTTTCCTTCCTCCCCAAGGTTCTCTGTTTCTGGCACAACGCTTCACCAGCCCTTGCTGCTATGATGGGGTTAGGTGGCCCCTTCCCACCTTCACTGGTCCCACAGCCATTATCCCTGTGGCCTCTAGACTCCTGGACACTCCCCAGATCCCCAATTCCTTAGTGAGACACTGCCCCTACCGGGACTTCCCATCTTCTCTCTCCTCTGCCCTGAGGACAGGATCCATCAAGGCCCTGCTCCCTGGGGGGGAGGAGGGAGTGGCCTGAAGGCTAAGAAGATGCTCTGACCTAAAAGAGACCAGGGTTTCTCAGAGTGCAATGCAAGGGCCTCAAATCCATCTGAACGCCCTCATGAGAATGCAGATCCCCAGATCCTGGCTCAGACCTACCGAATCAGTCTCTGGGACCTATGTATCTGTATTTTTGGTCAGCAGCCATGCACATTACAATGTGAGAACCACTAGAGCAGACTACAGCTTGCCTGAGGCAGCTAAAGACCAGTCCTCTGCTATTTCCTCTGCCTGGCCTTGACTACCACTTGGTCGCCCTCGTCTCAAACTTAACACGACTGGAAGCCTTTGTTCCCATGCTCCCAGGCATAGCAATAGAAACCAAGGTATCTGGTATCCTTACCTGAGGTGTAAGGTTTTTTAGAACAAGCCAATTTGTTATTCTCCCTGAGCTGCTCTCACCCCAGCTGGAACCTAAACATGGAGAAAAAAAAGAAGAAAACAAGTTAGTTTTGAAGACCATGGCCTGAATGACTGTTCAAGACCAACGCTCCCCATTCAAAGCACAGTTGCTCATAGGCCGTCTGGACTTCTGGCTTCTGTCTCCCCCAATTCCTTCCTTGCACTGTCTCCCTAAGGCCCAGAATGTGTGCTCATGCCAGCATCGCCCAGGTGCTAACCTTTGGGGCAGGTGGCTCCACCTCTGGGGTGGGCTCAGGACCTCTCCCAGCGCCTGGAGGAGGGTAGTGAGCCACAAAGACCACATCCCGCTGGTATCTTTTCATTTATAAAGCAAAACCTGTCTCAAAATGGTACCATCTGGGGAAGCTTCAGTTGGAGAGATGTCACTTGACAACCCTCCATGTGTATCCCTTAGGGTGTGAAGCCCTCAGGGCATGACACTTTAAGGGGATTTTAGGGCTTGCAATAGTCCAGGCATGCCTCAACGTTGCCTGGGTCATAGGAGGAGTCCTCCATCTGGCCTTCCTGCTCGGCTCTACAGCATCCACTCTCTTTCCAGCAACAGAGCTTTTAAAAACCTGATCAAGCCCCTACAGGCACCTCACAAACCTAAGTGTGGCTTAGGAAGACTGTTCCATGACACAGGACAGGCCTAGTCACTTCTCACCGAAACTTGCCCCCTCCCACCCCTCCATTCTCAGTCCTAACTCCAATGGGAAACCTTTGTGCCTTCTTGGGTCTCTAAGCCCTGGCACAGGCGCTCCCTGTGCTCGGCTTACTCTTAAAGGATTTCTGAGCCCACTTGACTCCACACCCCTCCTTAGGGTGGGCTCCCAGGTCACTTGTATTATCTCCCCTCACCATGTACTGTCAGCCATGTAGCTTGCACCCAGAAGATGTCTGTGACTTGAAGAAACCAGTTGCACCACACCAATTACATTAATTTGCATTTAGCAGCTTAAAAGGGACTCAAGTGTTCTTGTCATGTAATTACAACTTCCCCCCAAAGGAAACACTGTAAGTTTTATTGAAGTCAATTTCCTGTCTAAAGATCAGAAACAACAATTAGATCAGAGACTATCAGTAAAGTTTTATTACTCATTTTCAGCTTGGAGAGCAGAAAGTTTGGTACAGCTTAGGGGCATGGTAGAGTGAAGGATAAGACTGTACTTGTAGAACTGCTAGACAGCTCTGAGTTAAATCTTACCTGGGGTGTATCTGGCGTCAGAATTTCCCCATCCTCCACCTACACGAAGGGGAGAATTATCCCACGTAGACAAGGGTGGCTTCTGACCAGTCAGTCCCGGAGGTGGGCGGGACGGAGCAGTGATGTTTTTAGGTGGCAAAGGGACCTTCCACAGCTCATGAGCCAGAGAGGTGTTTGTAACTGAACCAGGAGACCATGTCAATTTGGAATCACTATTTCTGGCTACTCAAAGAGGAAAAAGAAAAAGTGAGGAGGGGTGGAATAATGTTTAAGAAAAGAGATAATTTAAATAAAGATAGTATCTATTAGCCCACGAAAAGCAACTCAAACAAAAAGAAACTCTATTTAAAAACTCCCAAATCAAACTAAACTACCGAAGAAAAACAAAAAGCCCAAAAGAAACTGCCTGCTCCTCTCAAAACACTCAGATCATTTACCTGTTAATAGTTTTAAGATCTATAAGATTCTTAGACTAGAGTACAAAACTGTACTATAATTGAAATCAAAACAAAACATTGCTTTTGAATTGCTCTAAAATTGCATTTGTAAACTTCTGATCTTAATAACCATAATTGAATCATCCAAGATGGTCACAAAGGCTATTAAATAAATTTTAGAACTTTTTTCTTTACTCATGGGAAAACAGACCACAAAAGTATCCCCACTCAGGGAGTCATCACAGCAGATATTCACTGGGTGCCTGCCTCTATGCCGAGCACTGAGCACATACTATCTCCAATCCTGACACATACTCTACTGAGTATCAGAGAAGTTAAGTAATTGGCCCATGGGTCGAATGCAGAGCCAGGATTCAAACCTAAGCCTGTCTGGCTTTTAAAAAAAAGAAGAAGAAACAAAAAGAAAGCTCAATTCCTGATGCACGCTGCCTTACAGCAATAGAGGTGTTACGGGGGTGTGCAGGGATCAGGTACACAGTAAACTATTATGCTAAAAAACATGAGGAAGACAGAAAGAAATGGGAAATTTTATATCTTCCACCACTGTCAACTTTTTCACCTTGACTTACAAAGTGCATGTCCATTAAGCCAGAGCTACTCAAAATGTGCTCAGAAACTGTCCACAACAGTTTATTTCTGGTCTGCAACAGAATGAGTACAGAAATTCAGAGTGAGCATTTATAAACTCTGACAGCAATGTGACATTGCCATAACTCTCAAGTGTGTAATCATTTTTCTAGCAATTCAAAATTCCTGTTTACTGTGTTTTACAAAGTATCAGTCTACGAAGGATTGGAAATAAAGTAAAAGGTCTTTCACTGCAAGTAGCTTGAGAACTGCTTTGGATGAAATTACATTTAATTATAGAGCTGAGGTGGTCTCAGGTGAGAGTGAGAGCTGGTCTGTCAAAGTTGATTATTTTAGTAGGTGACTGCTGGGCACAGTCCCTTTGAAAAGGGACAGATAATGTTAAAATGATTTTCCCAGGCACACAAGTATAGTCTCCTAACTCCCCAAATAAAAGAGTATTAAAAACAAGGGCACCAGGTGCAGGCTAGTAGCACACCCCTGCTGAGGCCCAGGCTCACCTGAAGTGCTTTGTGCTGTACTGCTGAGGGGAACGCTGTAGTTGGAGGCACGAATGGATGACCAGGCACTAGTTGAAGGCAGCGTGGTGTTCAAGGATGAGGATGACCCTACATGAGGAAAGAGTCCAATCAGCCAGTTAGCAGAGCAAGGGATGGGGTGTTGAAGTATAAACAGAAGCATGCAGAGGAAGCAAAGCATGCCACACGAAAGTAGGCGGGTACGCGGCGGCTGACAGACAGCGGGGGAGACTCGTCTCCCTCTTTCTTCTAGCACAGCATGCTGAGAGGCTTGCTCCTGGTTCTCACCTTGGCTCAGAACAGGTATTTTCCCTCCTAGCCCATTTTCTCACTGTGAGAAGACACTCTGACCTCCAGTGACCTCTTATTGGCCAGCCAGTTCACTGAGGCACCCCTCACTGGCACTGCCAGGGAGCCAGGCCTGCAGCCTTCTTCATGCCCCACATGCCAGCTCCAAAACCTAGTCTTTCTGTTTTTAAAAATCCCCTTGACCACCACTCTGGATTAGCTCTAGACCTGCCCGTCATGTAGATCACTACAACAGTTCCCTAACTGTTCTTCCCAACCAATCCACTCTGCTCACCCCATCGCAAATATTGATTCTTCCCCTTAAAACCCTCCATAGTGTATTTCCTTTGATATCAAATCTAAACTCCTTTCCCAATTTTCAGAACCTTCTACAAGCAACCAAGATAAAGCTCCTGTTTCTGTAAGTCATCAGACTCTTCTATTAACCAGCATGCTGTGAGGTTTTATATTTGACTCTGTGCCCCAACTCTTTCTTGTGAAAACAGATTTAACCAATTCTACATAGTTGTCTGTTAAACTCAGCCATTTTAGAACAATGAAGATTCTTTTATGAGAATTTTCTTACAACTGTGATATGGTAAAGATGTGTTAACAAACTATATATTTACTGTAAAATGTTGGCTGTTTTACATTTTCTTTATAAAAGGTTTAAAGGGATAGATGGGAAAATACATTTTAAATAATAGAAAAAAATGATATTTTCAATATGTATTGACGGAAATATTTTCAATATTACAAAAATTTACTTCATTCACCTTTCTTCTAGTGCAAAATTATGAGTAGAATACATGTATATTCCCTGCGATGAAAAATAAGCATCTGGTAAATAGCAGGATAATTTTATTTGACAGACCATTAAAAAGTTCATCTGGACTGCAGGGATGCTTAAACTGGTCTTATTTTTACTCTCTAAGACACAACAAAGAAAGCCTAATTTGGTCCTCCAGACCAAAGTCCTTCAATATTCAGAGTGTAAACATACAATGTAACCACATCTTTTACAAGAAACACCCATCTCTTCATAACCACAATCCTGCAATCACACTGTGAAGCCCCCCTACGTACCACTGTTCCTGTCCCTGAGGTGGTCAACTTCCCGCACAGTATTAATTGAAAGATTGTTTATGACACTGCCAGGAGTGACGTAAGGGTCAGTTTCAGGGTCAATGTTTGGATAACCTTTCCATGGTTCACCAGGGCGAAATTCTGGAAATGGAAATTTAAAGTTAGTTCAAGGCTTAATCATCACTATTAGATATCCAAAACTTTTATTCCTAAATTCTATGCAATTCTCAAATATTTTCCAATTTATACTAATAGCCTAAGAAGTTAATCAGTAATATACAATTAGTGTAATATATTCTTTTCTTTCTTTCTTTTTTTTTTTTTTTTTTGGTGACTGGCTGGTATGGGGATCTGAATCCTTGACCTTCACCATGCTCTAACCAACTGATCTAACTAGCTGGCCCAATATAAGCTGTTTTTATGAATAGCTTATGAGTTTTTACAACTGAAATTATTTCTCTGGGTTTATATATTTTTAAACAGTAGCATTTTTAAGTGCTTTATGACAAATCACAAAGCCACAGCAACTCAAGCAGGACAAAGCAGACCACAGATGGATTTCTGATAATTCCTCAGCACAACTGAAAATAGTGTCAAATTAATCCCCTGACACAGCTGAATTAAGGTTTTACATGATGACCCTTCAGGCTGGTCTAGGGGATTCACTGTCCCTTCACGGTCTGGAGCACAAAGGCACTGGTAGTAACAGGTGGACACACTCATCTGCCCGAGAGTTTTTGCTCAGCTTTTCCTTCATCATTTCTATATTTCTTATCAGCACAGATCAGTCCATTCACGCATAATCAGGCTAAATCATTAGTAAGTTCAGATGTAACAAAACCTTAACAGAAACGTAAGTCTCATGAGATAAGCTGTTAGCATTTTACCTGGTGGCCAGTTAACACTGCTAGAGCCATTAGGCGATTTGGCACGTGGCCAGCCATCTCCTATTGAACCTGGAGGACTGGCTGGTGAAGTACTGCTGTTCATAAAGTCGTAGGGAACAAATGGAGACTCTTCCAGCCTGAAACCACTTGAAATAGCACCTACAGAGAAAAACGATAGTGAAACGTGAGTGAAATATACTATCACATTTATTTCTTATAATTTCTCAAATAAAATAAAACTTTATACTAGATTATGGGTTCCCAACAGTTCTATACATTATGTAAAGATTCGAGGAGAAAAAGAGTCCTGTGCTCTCTTCCAGACTTCAACCATGTTTACCTCTCTCATATATTGTGACTCTTAACATCTCATTTGAAGAATGTCTGAAAATGACCACAGTGGATTTCATTTCAAGAAGGATATGAAGGCCATAACCATCAATAAGTAAATAGAATATGAGTACAAAACTATTTCCAAATCATTAGAACACTTGTATTTTGGCCTAAATTGAGAACAAGTACAGCAAACTCTGTTAGGGAAAGTCATGGTTTTTGGGTGAAATGAAAAACACAGAGCGGGGAGGAAAAAGAACTATGATAAAGAAGGAAATGTGAGGAATATTTTCAGTGACAGAAGTGTTACCGAAAATCCAGGAGACTGCTGAGCCCATAAGATAATCTATGTGCAACGAAAAAACAATCAATATCCTTTTCTACCAGGATATTTATAGTTCTACCCTGTACTCCACCCTCTTCTGACTGCACGGCATGGTAAAGATGTTACCAAAGTGAGTATGAAATCCCATAAAAACACAACTTAACCTCACTTAGAAATGATCATTTGCTTTCTTGTGATTTATTCTCCATACCTGTCTTTGAACACACCTTAAAGTGACTAATGCTTTACTACCAGCGGCAAACAGCGATGGGAGGTGCCCACGGCTGTGCCCCGTGCTGACAGAGAGGTAAGCTGGAGCACCCTGAAAGGCACTGTTACCACTATCATCATTACTCCCATTCTGCAGATGATGCACCTCAAAGTCAGAAAGCTACAGGCAGGTAACTGAACCTATTAATGAGACACAGCCAATTTATAGCAGAACTAGGTCTGAAACCCAGGGTTTATGTTTATTTTGCCATTTCCCCATGATCTCAACTCCCCATTCTCACCCTTAAGAAAAATTCCAACATGATATTCCCTGGAGTGGCAGACCAACTTAGAATCCAAGTCTGTTTGATTTGTGGCTCAACCTTCCTTCTATTACATGACAATTTTACCTTTAATTTATGGTATTAGTCCAATATGTTTGCTGACTTTAATCTAGGTTACTTAGCGGTAATAAACTATAACCATGAGTATAAAAGCTTTTTATTCTGAGTTCTATGAGTTTCAGCAAATCAGTTAACCTGAGGGTGGTCTTGAGGACCTGTGACACAGAAGTTCTCTCAGATTTGCCCTAATTTATTAGGTGTCTAAAGCTTCAGTAAAATGGGGATTAAAATTAAAACCCAGCTAAGACTGTGTTGCAAACTGTCTGATACAATGCATGTTAAAGACTGTCAAGCCTGGATGATGGCTGCTACCTCCAATCAAACCTCTCTCTTCCCCAGGCTTGGCCATTCTCTGACGTGAGCCCAAATACTGCCCGTCCCTCCGTACAAACTATCTCCACACTGCTACTACTACAGAACGGCACCCATGTTTCACCTCAGGGACACACGAGTATCAGTGAGGGTTTCTGTTGCGTAAGCAAGTGAAGCAGGGTGGCTACAGGGATAATCCCACAGTCCTGCAGGGGGAAGCGTGAGTCTAGGGGACTCTCCCATCCCTGGCAGGGAGAGCGCAAGAGGGAGGCCACAGAGGGAGGCGTGGGGAGAAAAGCCAACGCAAAGACAAGCAGTAGACACGCCATGCAGGAGACAGCAACGGGGCAGCCGTAAACACTCAGCTTGGCAGGATGGCAGGGTGGCAGGCGCGGGACCACCAGATCCTCCCCTTTCCAAACAGATGCCTGAATTTCGAATTTTAAATAAAATCTCCTGAACATTTAAATAGATTGGTTCCAAAAAAATCTCACTATAGAGAGGATCTAACAAAACACAACATGTGGGTTGGTAGTTTTGGGATCCCTCGAGTACTCAGTAAGACGCCAATTTTACTTTTTTAAAAAAGGGAGAAGGCCGTTCCACAATGTACACATATATCAGAACACATTGGACACAACAGAAATCTACAATTTTTATTATCAACTTTTTAAAAAACAGAGTTAAAAATGTACCCTGTGGACCTTATATTTCACTTCTAGGTATTTACTGAGACAAAAACACTGTCCACAAAAACACATAAATAAGAACACCTCCAAAACCTCCACGGAGATTCAGCTCCACATGTGTGGCAAGCAGCTGCTTGCTACTGCCACCAGAGAAGAAAAAATGTCTAAGGTCTGATAGGGTACCACACTCTAGTAAAAATAAGTTTTTCTCAAATTTAAGTAAAAACAACGCTTCAGGAAAAAGGCTGCCCTTTTCCTGAGCTTTACACTCTGCCCTCAGTGTAAAATCATTCCTGTTTGATGGGGCTTTAGACTCACTAAAGGTGTTTCCTAGATTCATGTTAATATTTTACATAGATGTCTACTAGTCAATCATTTGGGCAAATAAAAATAATTGTAATCTTCAATAAAAGGGGGAGGACTATACCAAAATATTAATAATGGAGAGAAAAGATTAAAATTTCTGTAGTTTTTTAATATAAGGAAAAAGGAAAACAAAGCAAACAAGAATATGTCTGAGAAGATGTCTCTAAGTTGAGAGACAGAGACAAAGAGAGGGAGAGAAGGAAAAGAGCTAAAAGAGCAAAAATGAGGAATCCAGGGAGAAAATGAAAGAATAAACAGGAGGGTTGTTATGATGATAAGAAAAATTTTTTTCTTTAAAACAGATTGAAAACTTAAAAAGAAAAACAATTTTTGAAACTTGAAATTTAGAGGGCTCTTACAGACAGATGTGAATCTAAATTGTCTTTTTTTCTAGAGATGAAGACCAGGCTATGACCTGATCAAGGCATATTTTTTTTTTTTTTTTGTCTTTTGTCTTTTTCCGTGTCCGGCAACGGATCGCAACCCTCAGTGTTGCCCCCGTACCGGACCGGGGACCGGCAACGGGATTGCAACCCTCGGTGTTGCTCCGGCGCCTCGCTCAGCCAGTGAGCGGGAACCGGTCTGTATGTGGGATCCGAACCCTCGGGCGGGAGCGCCACCGCGCTTCCCAAGCGGCGCACTTATCCAGTGCACCACCGGGCCGGCCCCTCAAGGCATATTTTTGAAGTCATCTTTACACAAGATTTTTACAAGGACGGGAAAAATAAAAAACAACAACAACAATGAAGACTGAATATAAGCAACCAAAGAGAGGAAATCCTATCAAGCATTACTGAGTTTTCAAGAAATAAAAGCCTGAAGGTATTAAAATAATATTCCTGCAAGAAGGACTACTGGCCTTGGACTGGTTAAGATTAGGTATATAAGCAGGTAAAGAGAAGAAAATGAGAATGTTTTGGAGACTAAAAATAAGCAATTTGTATTACTAACAGAAAAATAATTTTAAAAAACAAAAAGGAAAAATGACAAAAGAAAGTTTCAGGACATCAAGTTAAGTAAATAAAGAATGGTAGGCGGCCCGGTGGCGCACTGCGCTAGTGCGCCGCTTGGGAAGCGCGGTGGCGCTCCCGCCGAGGGTTCGGATCCCACATACAGACCGGTTCCCGCTCACTGGCTGAGCGAGGCGTGGGGGCAACACCAAGGGTTGCGATCCTGTTGCCGGTCCCGGTCCGGTATGGGGGTGACACTGAGGGTTGTGATCCGTTGCCAGACACGGAAAAAAAAAAAAAAAAAAAAAAAAAAAGCACCAAGCTCCCCCTTCTTATTCTGAAGAGAACATTACTAAAATATATTTGTTAGGTTGCTATATATATAGGAATAAAAATATTTAGTGTTTAAGGTATCACTAAAAAACTTAAAATATGCTTTGCTCACATTCCAGATTTATGTAGGAGAAAACAGTCCACGCAATAAAAGGCATGGTGGGGGAAAAAAGATAAAAAAATAGATACTAAGTTCTTTAAAAAAAAAAAAAAGGAGATAATATAAAATAATAATATAAGCCATTCAAATTACTTTACTAAATAAATTAAATAAAAAACAAAGTTATGATAGGTTGATAAGAAGACACCACCACCCACCGCCTACATGTCAATGCTGGGCAATGAGGTAAGAGCGTAACAAATACTATCTTACTCAATTCTCAACAGTCCTATCATCTCTATCTTACACCTGCAAACACTGAGGCTTAACGACTTCAAAGCACATGCTGCCATGATATGATACCCCATTTACATACATAATGCATACTGTATACTGGTATACCCTATGTAAGGGGAGAGTACTTAAGAAAATATGATATACATTACACTCACAACAGCAGTGAAAAAAAAGGAAGGCAATACTTCATTTTTATAAGGAAAGTGAGGATCAGATATGTAAAACAGAAATGAAAAAATTCATTTTAACCTGAAAAGACAGAAGACTGCACAGTAGAAACATTTTTGTAGGTCTCCACATTGTATCTCTCTAGCCATTCCTGCCCTGGTTTACTACTGCTGGCTCCAGGATTCTGTCCTTGCTCTTTTCTCCACACTCTCTTCCACTGGGCAATTTCATCGATGTCCATGTCTTCAAAATTCAGATGAATACCAAATCTTACTCTAGCCCAGATTTGTCTCCTGAGTGCTAGACCTCTATTTCTAATTTCTTACTGGGGATTTCCACATTTTGAGTTATGCCCAAATACCACACTTAACAAATCTAAAACTGATTCATCACCTGCTTCGATTCCTGCATTTACTCCATCATTACTTGCATTCCTGTCCACTCACCCCTTCACCGAGCAGATGCTCACTAAGCAAGTGCTTCCATGTGCTCAATGGGACTACAAAGGAAGCAAAGTGTTATTACTGTCCTCCAGGAGTCTATGGTCCTGTGATGAAGACAGGCCTACAAGACAGAGACATATAAACGGTCCTATGGGAGCACAAAGCCTGGAGAATGCTTCTTGGAAATGATTCTTGAGCCAAGACTTAAATGTCAAGGGGAGGACTGAAGAAGACTAAAGGCACGGGGGAACTTCACAGGTAACCAGATACTTGCTGAATGAAAGAATGAGTTCAGTTAGTTACCCAGCCCTTTGCCCTTAATTCTAAAACTGTCTTCAATGCACTCCCTTCTGTTCACTGCCTTTTCTTTCTCTCACCTAGAGTACTTTGTTACCTGCCTATAGATGTCCACCATTTTCATTTTTAAAATCATTTATGCCATAGAAGTGTCCCATGATTTGCCCCCTACCCACTACCATTCCACCTCTCCTGCCTCCTTTCTCTCACTTGCACTTCCACCTCCAGATACGCCCAGACACAGAGTTCAGGCTGTTCTCTTTGAGCTTCATATGCACTCTTCTCTCTTGGTTGTTCTTCCGGTTTGCTTGTTTGGTAAATCTGAAGACTCATTTCAAGACAAGTCTTTCTATAAAGACTTTCCAGAACCCCCCAGTTATTTGATTCAATGCTCTTATGGAACTCTGTATTATTGTACTATTAGTACTATTATACATATTAACTTTTATAGTACCTATTACAGTGTACTAAAGCTATTTACATGTTTACTTTTGCCAACAATGAGCTCCTCCAGGGCAAGTATTTTTACATATGTACATATATATATTTTTACATACATAAACTCAACTGTGTGTATGTATGTACATACTTATGTATGCATTCTAGGTGCCTTGCACAGTCCTTGAAAAGCAGAAGGTATTCCGTTAACATGTGCTGAATGAATATATTAAATAAGATGAAAATGGTGTTTCTAAAAAAGATTTAATGAACTGCTGAAAAGACAATATTACATCTATGACTTACACACAGCAACAAAATACATAAAGAAAATGTGTCAATGAACAAGAAACTGATAGAAATAAAATTACAGTAGTTTTTAATACCCTACTGTGAACGTATCAGATTAAATTCAGTAAATGTTAATAAGCAGAACATAAGAACAATAAAATCACTTAGGGAAAAAATCCACACTGGCTAGTTATAGTTAGCTCACTTGGTTAGAGCATGGTGCTGATAACACCAAGGTCAAGGGTTCAGACCAGCCACCACAAAAAAACAAAAACAAAAACCTAAATGACCATCAAAAGGGCATAACTTTTTAAGATGCATCATCTGATCTCTCCTTTGTAAAACAGGAAAATAAAGGTGAAAAATTTTTTTAAATCTCCTGTTCTAAGATTTAATAATTAAAAAGCACTTTTTAAATGAAGAAAAAGTTCTAATGTAATTTGGCTTTGAAAATACGTACTTAAAATAAAGGCCTAAATTTAGTACTCTACAGGTTGGCTTTTTTTTTTTTTTAAGGGTAAATGTAAGAATGTATTTTATACCATGTTTGCTGGAGTTTTGATCCAAAGATGTGTTCACAGAAATGCTGTCCACTGTAGTCCACTTCCTTAGTCTCGACTGTGGCTCTTTAATACTGTTCATATCCATATTTACATTCAAGTTTGAGTTCAAGCCTTAAAATTAAAAAAAAAAAAATCTTATAAAATGACAGCACATTTTCCTTCTAGTACCGCAACTTCTCTTTCCAGAAAAATATATGTAACTAATCTAATATTTTCAATGCTGTTTAATGGTCCTAAATAAATATCATCCTGCCAATGCGGCACAGCCAAATGATGATGAAGACGAGGCAGGCAGGACAGACACCCTGGACTCCTGGCCAAGGTCATGCAGAAATACTTTTGGGAGAAAGAGCCTCGGCTAGGTTACAGAAGACAGCAACACATGCAAGTTCTAAATAGCTATTCTAACACTCAACAGTGTAACATTCACAAATTAACACAGAACTGTTAATACTATAATTGTTATTTATGGAAAACTATTTCTTCATATAATTTTGATTATTTTAAAACTCCTTGGCAAAATAAGAGACAAAAACAGTTTTAAGGAGGCTGAATTATGAAGTTTGTAAACATACCTCTAATAAAATGTACCTGTTTAGCTATTTCTCAAGAATACCACATGTGAAAAATGTGTGACCAACTCTCAGTTGCTATCTTTTGCTTGCAAACTGAACAATTTTCAGCTGGCTGACTAGCCAAAGGATGTTGTCATTTAAAAGTAAAACAGACCTGCTCTAGCTATTACACCTAAGGAGTAGACTGTCACATTGTAAAGCAAAATTTACTTGAACTTTGCTGATGTGCCATGTCAGACTTAGACTTACTCTCTTGGAACAAAGACATAAATTTCAACCTTAGATATTGTGGTCAGAAAACTGACCAATAAGCCAATGTTTCTTAAAGTGTGATACATGGACCATTAACATCTGAATCACCAAAAAATGCCTGTTAAAAATGAAGACATTCTAGTGGGAGCCAGAATCTTTGTTTCACATGCTCCCATGTGGTTCTTATTCTGAAGTTTCAAATTAAATAATTTTATTTGGTCTGATGAGAGTCCACATGATACCACTCTATCAAACTTAAAAACTTTAATAATATAAATTCTCTAATATCATCTCCATTTTTGAGAAGAGCAATCAAATTTGCTGCTCTTGGGCCCATCAATTAGATCAAGAGTTGGCAAGTTTTTCTGTAAAGGTTCAGACAGTATCTCAGGCTTTGTGGGCCACATGGTCTGTGTCTCTATGCAACTCTGCTGTTATAGCATGAAAGCAGCAATAGATAATGTTAAAGAAAGAGTGTCGTTGTGTTCCAATAAAACTTTACAAAACCAGGCAGTGGGCTATAGTTTGGTGAACAGGCTATAGTTTGCCCATGCCTGATTTAGATAATGGTGTTTGCATGGATTAAGCAGACTTGTGTAATTAAAAAGTATCCCTTATTGAAAAGCCAGCCAGGATAGGAAATCTCATATTTAGAACTTCTCTCCCCACTGGTCCAATTTTTATGTCAAGTGAACAGTCAAATAGTGAGAGCCACTTCCCTTCACTCGTGAGATCAAAATCTCTCACTGTTCTTGGGTATTCTTTTACCACTATACTGTTGTCTCTGGAATCACCTGGTCACCACCCAATGGCATCTACAGTATTCACCCAGTGATAACTGACAAGGGAACTGTTTCTGGAAACATACAGAGATTGCTAACAATTCCAAGGACTCAAAGTGCAATTTATGTCCTAGCTCAGAGTCCATGCTAATACCTGGGAGAGCCAATAACGTATCAGTTCAGCCACAAAGAGAAGCAGCAGCAGGGGCAAGAGCATGCCCCAGCCTCTGCCCACATCCCAGAACATGCTCGTTCACTAATGGTCTTCAACACAATTGGGCTAGCAACCAACAAAGCTGGTTTACAAGAACCCACCACATGGGAAGAGAGAGAAAGAAAAAGCAAAATGAACACGGTATGAACAATCAGGGGTAAAAACATAACCAAGGGCTCAAGAAAAAAAGGGACCTAGGAAGGAGAAAACATACAAGCCTCAAGTTTCCACACAGTGAATAAAAGCGTGGAGATAAAGGAAAAAAAAGGGAGGAAGCTACTGCCTATGTGATAAAGGCAGTTCCTTCTCTTACCCTCATTTTCTTATTTAAACCAGTAATCATTTATATATATTTAGAAAATAATTCACTTTTCAAGTTCTGAAAACCAGCAAATGTGACTGTGACCATTCCTAGTTGTTTCTCTAAAGCCACACTGCTAAAAATATTCTCTGGTGTGTTCTTTCTAATAACAATAACATCAGCTTTCCTCATCCCTTCATATCCTACAATTAAGCTGTCTGGGTCTTAAAAATAAATGTTTCCTTTACTCTAACCCACTTTAAATGAGTGTGGAATTTCTAAAATAGTGTGATTCTCTTCAATGGAGAGAGATTTTCTCTGAATCGTGAAGATGGTCTAAACCTAGAAAAGGGTGTGGCAACTCTGAAAGGGCACAGTGGAGAATCTAATGTAGCTTTTGTGAAAGACTAGACTTATGAAGGTAAGAGAGAAGGATGCATGCTTGTGAAAACCAAGCATCAGCTGAATGCTCTGGCTGGGAGAAACCCACCTATAGGAAAGTTGCTGAAAGCATTTATTGGTGATGGCCCTTTTTGCAGCTCAGGTGTAGTGTGGGGTATGACATTATCAAGGAAAGACTTCATGGCTGGCTGATGGAGTGGTTGCTGCTGAGAAGGCGGAGTCTGCTGCTTCACCAACAGGTTTGGATCAAGTTGACGCGATTGCTGCATCATTTGCTGCTGCACACTAAGAGGTCGACCCTTAAAACAACAAAGTGATTGAGAAAAACTGTGGGAAAGAAGTCCTTACAGATGCCAACATATTCCTCTGCGTTTCTGAATTCACTTCCTTCCCAGCAGGAAAGTGAACCACCACAGTATAGTAGTTAAAGTGACTCATGAGCAAACAACAGACTTAATAAACAAGATACTTCATTATACATTAAAAATTTTATTTTAATAAAGACATTTCAAATCTCTTGTTACAACAGAAACGATGTAAGTTGCATTTAACAAAGTGAAGGGTGGCATAACAAGTGGAAGGATCTGATGTACCTGCTGGTCTTGCTGCTGCCGGTTACCAGAAGGCACACTTCTCTGACTCTGCGCTCTTTGCTGCTGCGCTAACAATCGCTGGAGGGAAGATGGGAAAAAGGTGGTCACTGTTATACGTAAAATATTAGTAGGCTGCTGAAAGACCTATGGGAGGTGAGCTTTCAGAGGCATCCTGCGCTTCCAAAACACTACTCACACGTGTTCATTCACCATCCATCTTTCCTGATAAGACTAGAAGCTCTGGAAGAGCTCTGACTATGCTTCTTTTGCTTACTGCATACTTCCCGCACAGTCGTGTTTAGCACACAGCACTCAATAAATGCGTACTAAATAAGACTATTCTACTCACCTGTAACTGGGAGATCTGAGAAAGCTGGTTTAGTTGGGATAGCTGGTTCAGCATGGCTACCTGTTGAGGGCCAAAGAGCGGATTCAGGCCACCGTTGTTTGGTGCATACTTCAGCAATGAAACTGGAACCTTAGGATCACAATGGTAAGTTAATAATGCTGATGAAATAACTCAAGCTAGCTAAAGTGTGCTGTGTACTTTAAATTATCAACTGAGCAAATAAATTTGTGGATTGTTTATGGGGGGAGGGTATTTATGGTCTTTCTGCCTGTCTTTGCCTTACTAATTAAAGCTTATTTACCTGAGGGGAGAGTAATGGAGGAGGCACTTGAGCACGGAGATTAGGCTGAGATGAACTAAGAGGTTGTGCTGGAGGCTGCTGCATGCCCCGGGGTTGTGCTGCTGTGTTTCCAACACCAAACATACTGGGATTGCCGTTCTACAAAAACCAACCACAAAGTAACAGTGACTTTAAAGACAATCATCACATTACACATGGTATGACTGATTTAAACACAGTTACTAACATGTAAGAGAGATCTTATTACTGATACAAATCATTCAACAGAGAGCCTAAAATACACATCTGGACTTACCTGTCTAACAGAATTCAAGTTTTGCATACCCAGCCCTGCTATGGAGCCAAGGGCCTGGTTAGGTAGTGCACTATTTGAAGGGGGAAGCTTCATGCTTTGACTGGACATAAACTGCAAGTTTTGGGATTCATCTGCTACAATGCCATCCTGATTGGACAGACAGAAAGGTGTGCAACACCAGCCAAGCAAACAAGCGGAAGGGAGAAATCATTGCAGGAGCAGAAGAGCAGTCACACGACATTCCAGCACCAACAGGAAACAGGCAGAAAACAGAAGAGATCAGATTAGTGTTGATTCTAGAGTACACAAAAAGAGCCAAACATATTTTATGGGATTAAGAAGAAAATATAAGTGCAACTCCTATGCTAAACTGAGACATAAAAGGACAACGAACAATAATAGGACTTGGCACTCGATTATAACACTTTTTACTGCATAAAATATTCTAAAACATTAATGTGAAAATTGCGCTATTATGTGTTCTGGTGTATTAGTCACAGAGATAAGAGAAAAAAAACTTATTACCTTATCAAAATAAGGACTGCGTTCCATGGAAGACTCTTTGGAAATCTGAGGCCGAGAACCAGGGCCTTTCCCGACCGCTCGATTGTAATCACCAATATTTAGGCTATGTTTATCTATCTCCATTCGTTTATCTTGTAACATTCCTAATAAATGCAGAAGACTATGTTATCAAATAGAAATACAACCTAATTGGTTTCAGATAAATTTACAATAGAAAAAGTACTCACTTTCCAAACTGAAATGACTTCTGCCTTGACAAGGACATGTAAAAAATGCACCTGCACTTCACAGATCTCGCATGCCTCACAAGTGAAGTTGGCTTTAGCAGATACTGTTACTTTATTGAACCAATTAACTTGAAAACAGATTTGTAAACAGGTGGCTAAAAACTTCATTTAAAAAAGACATCTTAAGCAACATAAGACATCTTTAGTCATCTCTAACCTGCTTAATTTCCATTAACAAGTGACAAAAACAACAGCCAGCACCCACCATGACAAGCCACCACTTAATAAATGCTTACTATGTGTCAGGAACCATTCTAAGCGCTTTATATGTACTGATTCAATGCCTGTAACTCTACTATTACCACACCTACTTAGCAGACAAGAAAGCAGAGACTGGACAGCATAACGTCTCCCTCTCTCTAAGGCCTTGCTCTGTCCTTCGCTCTCCTCTCTCTGGCTGCTCTGCAGTATGACCTTCTCTCATGGAAACTCCTCTCCTGTCAAGTCTTCTCGGCTGCGTGCAGCCAGCCTGTAAGCTGCCATCCTACTGCAACAACCCTTTTCTTTTACAAGTGGATAATGCTGTCTGCCTCCTGCCCTCACCCTGAGCCCATTCTGGTTTCTCCTGCTCTGCCCACAGCTGAGCCCACCTCCTTGTGCTTCCTCAACGCTGGTGTACACCAAAGCTTACTCAGGGCGCTCAGTATGAGTCTTCTGACTATCTCCGTATACACTTGCTTCCCTTGGACTTTATTCATGGTCAAAGTATCAATAGTCACACCCGTTCAGGTGACCGCCAAATACAGATGCCCAGCTTCGACTTCATACTTGAGCTCAGTCCCACATCTTTAACTGCCTGCTAAGCATATCCACTTCGATGTCCCCTTGTCACTTCTAACGCGTTTTCATCTTCCCACTCCTCATTCCCCACATATTCTCAATCCTCAAATCTCATCCGTTGTTTCTTTGCAATTGTTGTTTACTGAGATGCCTGCCATCACCACAATAGTTACCCTTAATATCCTCATTCCAAGCAAGTGGGAAAAAAAATTTAACACAAGGAAAAAATTCTTAAAATAGGTACATTTTTAAAATGCCATTTGTTTCTTGAAATACTGTTCCAAACACGGATCAGGGATCTGAATAATCCACCTTTAAGCACTTGTAAGAGTCCTCCCTTGAATTCCCTTGAATGTCAATAATCTTTGGCAACAACATCCTCCTCTGATTTCTCTCCTCATTAATGGCATCACCATCACTGATGCACCCGAGCTAGCCATCTTGAGCTCTATCCCTCACTCTACCTCTAATCCTGTAACCAAATGCAACCAACTCTTCTCCTAAGTCTCTCTCCAAGCTGTTCCTTCCTAATAACACAGGTTATTTTCCCCAAATGATATCATTTAAAAGAGTAGCATGTCTGGGTGGGGGAAAAAAAGAGTAGCATGTATATCTTCTCCACAAACCATACCCCAACACTCTGCACCCCTTGAGAAACCGACTGAGTGCCAAACGTGGCACTCTCCCAAGTCTGCCAGTCCTCTAATAAGGCCCTTTAGTTACCAATGACTCACCTCAAGCCCACTGTCAAATGCACTCCCTGACAACTATTCTCCTCTCCAAAACTCTATGCTCACCTGGCTTCCGAAAAACTATTCTACTCTAATTTGTTCTACTTCTCCTCAGGATTTCTTTCTTTCTTTCTTTCTTTTTTTTTTTTTTTTTTAAGAGTAGAGACAAATGGTTTATTTGGTAACAAGGTGTAAAAAGAAATTCTTAATTCCCCTCTCTTTTCTGGTGGCTGAACTGAACTGTGATAGTCAAATGGATGGCAGCATACAGGAATTCCCTTGTGCAACTCAGGATCATTGCTTAAATGTCATTGTTCTCCAGAAGTCTGTCTTTGGTCCATTAGTCTACAACTCTGGTCAAACTATTCTCATGGCTTTTACTGCCATCCCTGTCTAATTAATCACATGTGTTATCTCCAGCCCTATCTATTCTGAGATCCATATTTAGATTTTCTATTGCTTAGTGGGCACTGCCAAAGAGTTTTCATAGAAACTTCAATCTCAATATCTTATCCATCAAACCTGCTATTCCCACTATATTTCTTATCTCAAACAATAGCCACTTACTTATTGTCTCTCAGCTCCAAATTCACCCTTTTTGACAGCTCTGTGCAAATATATATGAACCCTTTATGTCTTTCCCTTTGTCAGCTGGCACTGAGGCTTTGTCAGTAGAGGGCACTAGAGATAGCACCAGAGAGAGAGTTTGCTTCCTTGTCCAGTGTGCTCAGGAGTGTGCCCACCTGGCAGGACTCAGTAGCACTTGCAGCTTCTCCAGTGTCACCCACTTTGCCAGCAGCACTCGGTGGCCAGCATCTCCTAGCATTCCCCTATACCTCCAAACAGTTTTGCAGCAGTGTGTCAGGGGAGACACTTTTCCATGAGCAGCTTTCCCAGCACCGTAGAGAGCATACTTCTAGCATGAGAACACACAACTTCCCCACCATTCAGTGAGCCGCGGAGGAGGCAAAGAATATTCTGGATAGGGATTTTTCTCATCTGTAAAGCTTCTGCCATCCAGGGTCTCACACAACACCTTGTCCACTGTCATGGTACTCCTCACAGCATTGTGTCTGATCAAGAAACTCATATCTTATGCCATTACCTGAGAGTAGCTACCCAACTTGACAGGTAGAATGGCTTACAGAGGACACAGCTACAAAGCAAGTTGGGAGACGACATCCTAAAAGGATGGGCTTCTCTCTTACAGGATGTAGTATGTGTCTATGTATCTCCCCCATTACCAGAATTCGCAGGTCTGGGAATCAAAAGGTGAATTACACCTAATAAGCCACTTGCAGAATTCTTGCTTCCTGTTCTGACAACTCTCCTGGTTTAGAGAACTTAGTCCTTGGCAGAGAAAATACTTCCTGTAATAGGCATAACCATGGTTCCACTACACTGGAAGACAAAGACTCCGCAACCTGGTCATTCTGCACTCCTTATGACATAAACTAGCACGCAAAAAAGGGGCTACTCTACTGGCTGGAGTGATTGGTTCTGACTATCAAGGGGAAATTGGTTTCCAGATACAAAATAAAGGCAGTGAAGACTCTATCTGAAACTGAGGGGATTCTGTGGGGTGCCTCCTAGTGTTTCCGTGCCCTGTCGTGAAGGTTAATGAAAAACTACAGCAACCAAAAAAGGGCAGGACAACTGAGGGTTCAGATCCTTTGGGAATGAAGGCTGGGTCACTCTATCAGGTAGAGAACCCAGAGAAGCTGAGGTTCAACCTGCCAGTGAGGTAAGTGTGGACTAGGAAGTGAAAAAAGGAAGCCACTGACACCAACGATGGCTGTGACCAAACACAGAAGGGTGGCAGTGGCTTTGCATGTTTTCTACTGCTCATTATAGGTATGTATTAATTCACACAGGCACACGATCTTCTTCTTCTTTCTCTCTCCCATTTTTACTTTATTCCTGAGTTACTGAAAGTTAACTTTACAATTTAGTCTCACAACCTGTGACTGAATGTGAGGGGTAATTAATATGGCCAGTGATGAACACAATGGCTACCCAGACTATGCATCCCCTCACCTTGGTAAGAAGGTGAAAACTTCCTCACTTGTAAGAAAGCAAGCTGTATCGTGTCAAATAGAACATAGAGATGTTTTGCCGTTGTACTGGAGTTTAAATGTGTGTACAAGAGTGCACGTGGAAGGTGAGCAGTCAAAGGGTTGGGGTGAACTATGCAGATTACTGACATTACTTCTCAGCTCCATATGCACCCTTTTGACTCCTCTGAGGAAAAAAAAAATGGATCTGGGCCCCTTACGTATTTTTTTTCCTTTGCAAATTGGCACCGAGACACTGCAAAAGGAAAGGTTTGGTTTCCTATAGTTCTGGTGTGTTCTCTCCCATAGCACAGGGAGCTTTTCCAGCACCAGGCTTCTGCTGTGCTCCTCACCAGTGGCCAGCAGCTCCCCACCCACATCCCCTCTGGCAGTTTTGTAGCACAGTGCCTCTAGGCAGACACCTCTCTTGTGAACTGCTTCCAAAAGTATCTTAGAATAGGTAGATTTCCTCCAATTCCACTGGGGTGGCACCATAGTGACTTCTCTGCCATGCAGTGAGTCACAGCCATGCCCAAGTCTGGATCTCAGCCTTACAGTAGAGGTGGGGGAAAGGGTAGGGCCATTCCTCAGGCACATTCTCTCAGTCCTAAGTTTAGTGATTTCTCCTTATATCTGCTATTTATATACTCTTTAGAGTTCTCCTGACCTCTTACTAGCCAATCCCTCGGTACTCTAATTCTTTGTTAGAGTCAGCAATTCCATATATTTATATTAAACTTTCTCTGTTCAAATTACTGTACAGCTCTGTCTTCTGATTGCACTCATGTTACTACAACAGCACTACCATCTACTGAATGATCCAGGCAAGAAAGCGGGGAGTCATCTTCCACCACTCTCTCTCCCTCACCCTGCGTAACAAGTTGGTTCAAACTGGTTATCGACTTTTGTTGATTCTAATTCCTAAGTCCCCACTGAATTGGATTCTACCCATCTACTGCCTTAGTTTGGAGCTTTGAAAACAATCCCCGATTATTACAACAAATCTCCAACTGGTTTTACTATCTTTAATATCACTTGTTTGTCCTCTGATGCCAATGTTTTCTGTCCTAAGAGATTTTCAATCTATATCCCAGATTATTTTTCTAAAACATAAATCCAAATAAGTTCAGACCCTCAAGCTTTTTGTACTTCTTGTCTCATTCTATGGAACCACTTGCCATTTCTCCAGAATGGTTTAAGATGTCTCTGTCATGTTTCTAGGCCTTCATTCACATGTTCCCTGATCAAGAAGTCTATACCCCCTCCCAACCTGTATAACTCACTCCTGACAGGACTGTGTTTGAGGGCATTGTAGACTAATATCACCACTACCTAAGATTTGCACAGTAGTCTGCACTTTAAACACACATCAATTCATTCAATCCCAACATGTTAACATGCACTGGAGGAATACTGCAGTTAGGAGCCAGGTCTCCCCTCTCCTGGTCTAGGTCAGGGCTCTTTCAGTAAGATCACGTCACAAACATGTGAATCCATCAGTGATGAATTTAGGATGAAACTAATTTTCTCTTATAAACAAATAAATAGAAAAAAATTTTTTTCTCTTACCTCCAGAAAGGTCCATCTTATTGCTCTGTACATTTTCCTCTGGTGAGTCTCTCTGAAGAAAAAACAGCATGTTAACAGATCTTAACTGATCAATTTGATCTCAACTGATCAAAAGGAAGAATTTTACGGGATTTCATTATCTGTGAAATTCAAGTGCATCATAAGGCATTTTTTACATTGCCTAATGTTTTTAAGTAAGGCATGTAATCACATTTTTAGCTGAAATCATAACAATAAAGAAGGTCTGAAAGCCAATTTTACTCTAACTTCAGGCATATTCATAAGATCTAAAAAACAAAGTAGAATTTTGAGGAAAACAAAAAAAAAAAATGGAATTGGGATAAATTATGCACCACCATTAAAATGGGAGGGGGCTGCTAAGAAAACATACTTACCGAAAAACTGATATTTGAAAACTGCTTAACAAACGGATTTATCCACGCTTCTTCTTGTTTGTTTCCACCTTTCATCATTCCCTTTGTAAAATAAAAGAGTAGAAAAGATGCCATGGCCATCTCTATTTATCTGGGTATAGTGATGGATTAATAAAACTTCAAGACAATTCCCAACTCTCATTTTTAGCCAATCATTTCTCCTCCAACCAACTCTTATCAGAGTTGTTAACAATTAAAAATCAGCTCATTTGATTTTTCAACTTCCTTTGCTCCAGTCCTCTGGTATAGCTGTAATGCACAGAGAAATCTCTAAGGCAAGCAGTCAGAAGGAAAAGAAAGAAGCAAAGGCATCAGCGACCCAGAAAAAGAAAAAAGTGGCCTCTGAATAATGGTGAACTATCAAGCAGTTCACAACTTACAAATGCACTGTATTGTATAAAATTAATTATAATTTGGATTTTTGGAATTCTCACACCAAACCAAAGTAAAAATTAGTGATTAGGTTCGCAGGTTAGTCCAAAGAAGCCAATTTAACCCATAATTTGACTATGCAATGTGCACTGTACTGAAAAAATACCATGTGTTTCCACATGAAAAGCATTTTAAAATTTCAATTTGTGTTGCCAAGAACCCAACACACCCAGCAGTGGTTGACGCTGGATAGCCTCCCACTTAGTAGTGTTGGCTTTCTGTGGCTGGTTGAGGTATGGTTCAAAAACTACACTGATGTGTGAGTTGTGAGAATAAAGGGTCCATGATCAGCAGTGTGGTAAGCAGGGGGCTAGAAGCTGTAGCGCCCTAGGTCTCCCATTTACGTGAAGATCACAGGACCATTCTCAGTCTGTTGCCTTAATTTCCCTTTCCCATTGCTACCACCTGTTCCTTCTGACTGTGGAAGAGAACACAGCTTCATAATCTCCCCCAAATGCAGGTCTCTGAAGCAAGCGCCTAACCCTCTCTGAGGTTTCTGAAGTCGCCTTTGACTACTTTTCCTCCTTCATTCCCACCCCCATATCTACCCTGTTGACAAGTCCTTCTGTCCCTTTTATTCTGAAATGTCTTTCAAATTAGTCCTTGCCACTATATGAATGATATTCACTGTTTCCTAATTCAAGCCCTCCTTTCTAACTTGAATGCGAAACTTCCTAATTGAGATCCCTAACTCTGAACGTTCCTCTGCTCCAATTTATATTTCATATTACCATTGGTTAGCTTTCTTTAAAAATATAAATAATTTTAAAAACTCCACTGATGTTGCCTTCATTGGCTCCATATTTTACACAGAATAAAGTTCAAATTCTTTGGCACCATACTGAAAACAGTTTACAGTCTGTCCTTAATCTAACTACAGAGCCAGATCTCTTGTCACTTCTAGAAATTCTACATTTAATTATGTCAGGCTATTTTCCTTAGAACATTCCACCCCCACACATCTTCCAGACTTAAACTGACTCTCTTACAAAGTTCTCCTAATGTCCCATATTAGACTAGGAGCTCCTTAAAGGTCTAGCTCATATCTTAGTGTATTTGAATCCCCAGCACCAAGCACAGTACCTGGCACACAGCAGAGGCTAAATAAATGTTTGCAGTTGCTTTCTAAAGATTTTTTACTAGTAGAAACAAAGGAGAAAGAGTAAAAAGGCTACACACCCTTTCCCTTCTCCTTTTTTTGCCACTCAGACCCTGTAAGGAAAGACAAAGTCACAAAACAGCATGGTCCAGTGGGAAGAACACAGGGTTTGGAATTGGAAGACCTAAACTTAAGTCCTTGCTCTGTCACTAGTTATGCAACTTTGGGCAAGTCACCACCTTTTCCAGTCTCAAATTCCTCATCTGTATCCTATCTTAGAGGGTTATGAGGATCAAATGATTTATGTAAAACATGTAAAAGCACTTCATAAGCTATATGGTGAGGCAACAGGCAAATTCAGCCAAATGAAAAAAATTTTTAATGAAAATGGCAGGTCCTAGACTTAGAATCCCAGGATTAAAAGGGAGGGACCTTGGCAATCCAGCTCCCACTGCATCTTTGACTTCTAAGGTCCCTCAAAAGGTAATCGTTCTTAAATAAGGTGGGGAGGACATATTAGAATCACTTGGGGGGACTGGGCACATATTTGGAAAACAGTCCCCAGGAGAATGAGACACCAGACCCCAATACCAGCTCTAAATCAGTGATTCCCAAAAGTGGCTCTGCATCAGAGACACTTGGGGAGCTTGCTTAGGACAAGAAACTTGGTCCAATTTCTAAAACTTCAGTAGACCTGGGGTACAGGAAGCTGTATTTTTAACAAATGCCACATGATTCTGATGTATAACCAGGTTTGGGAATACGATTTGACTGTATATACAAGCAAAATCAAGCATGGCCCATTCCTAGGGATTTTTGTCACAGGACCCTTTGGGATGGGGAAGGACAAAGATGGCAGATGAGTAAGGAGGATGGTGACTCTAAGTAAAGGGGGTTGGGGCTCCAGGTGAGGAGGTGGGATGGGAGATGAACTGGCAGTGGGATGGAAAGAGTCAACATGGAGATTTGCCCTTCTCTTCATCCTCACCACTGCAGACGCCACCCTGGGGCGAGGGGCTGTCCCAGGCAGCACTGGTGGAGGGGGAGGAGGAGAGAAATCCCAAGCTGTAGCAGTGGGGAGAAAGGAAGTTCCTGTGGTCTCACGTTCTTCTAGGTGGCTGCCCATACGAGAGGCTATAACTAAGTTGGGGACTGCCTGGACTGTACTGATTGCCATAAATGGGCAGGCAGAAGATTAATTTTCTGTGGGTAAACTACCTTTGGAATTTAAAGTTTCAAGGGCTTTGCCCTTGAAATGTTTACCTTCGATGACATTTTCTTTGTATATGGTGGCCAATTTAAGGATGAGTTAAGCTCTTGAGATGAATTACTATTCCACATTCCAATCTCTACATCCTCCTCCTCTTCCCAGCCAGTGGGGCGATTTCCAGGCAACGGCATGTCATCACCACACCAGCCATCTTGCATAGATTTTGGCCCTGATTGTGGATTTATGATACAAAGAGAAACATACTTTAAATAAAACAATTCTTTCTGGAGGCAAGCATACATTAAAAAGCAGGGAAGGAGACCTAAAGAAACAAAACACACTTTGATTTCCCTTCCCAAATGTGCATAGTAGGAATACATGTTTTATAGTGAGTTAAAAGTTCCACTAGAAAAGAATTTATTTTTATTAAAAAAAATCAGTGAAATGTCTCCCATGCCTTTACAAATAAGACAGTTCCTAAACACAGACAATGGTAGCACTCTTGTTCATACCCACTTAACAATTTGAATAAATGAGGCACAGGACAAAGAAGATGGATGGAATTTGAAATAATCAATTTTGATATATATTTTCCAGAAGAGCAGCCAAAGAGCATTGGAAGTCATAAACAGAAAGCACTGTATCTCCACACACAGCCTTTGGGATTCCTGTGGAGCATCCTATACACAACCTACGGGTTAGTGACAGTGTTAGTCTGAATCGCAGGGTCCTTTCTGAACTATGCTAATATCCTGTATAATATTTTTCAGGGAATCATCTGACAGTCCGGACATGTGTTGCCATGTTATGCTATTCAGTCTCTCAGGTTTGATGGCATGAAAGTTGCTAGACTATTTCCAGATAATCTGATTTAGTAAAATATAATTTAGATTTGGTGAAGTATATGCAAATCATTAATAGCTGCAGTTCTAAGAATAATGAGAAAAAAGGAAAATTCAGAAAGATAAAAGAGCAAACCATGCTAAAAATTCATTGTCAAATACTGAATATCATGTAGTATGTCAAATTATATGGATACATTACCAATAACATAGAGACATTATCTAATTATTTAATTATGGTCAGTGAGTAATCACCACTGCTACAAAACAGCTACCAGGGATAATCAATAACTTACCAGATTTGCTTAACGCTTGTGGACCAACAGAGCTGGAGCCCCACGTGGATGTGTTGGAAGCCGCAGCAATGGGTTCCCCCCAGCTGGGACCACTGTCTATGGGTTTACCCCATGCTGAAGTACCATTATCCACAGTTGTGGCTGGAGTAGAAGGCTCCCCCCAGGGCTCACCCCAGCCTTTAGAAAGTGTGGGAAAAGAAGTCATCAGCATAGATGGTAAGGAGGTGCAGAGGAATAAGGGACAATAAAGAACACTTAGGGAACCAAGAACGAAGAACTTCAGGTTTATGTACTGAATGGTGGTGCTGTGACAGGCAAAAAAGATGGCATCTGTTTTAAGTAAAGAAGACAAACCATTGCCTATTAATATAATTTAACTACATGCTGTGAGTATTTTTTCAATTGATTCTTTCAAAATTGCCCTCTGGGGCTAGAACAGATTCTTTTGAATAACCTTAATTATGGCAAATCATCCTCTTTGAGAATGAATTTAATTCCTGGATAAGTCAAGTCATTCTGAACCAAATCTAGTGAGTTGAAGCAGGTGAGGAAGCTGGATAACAGTGTGTATATAAAATTTTTAGCAAAAGTGTAACCTTTCCACATCACTGTACTGGAGAAACAATTAATTAGAAGAGACTAACAATGGGTAGGCATCCTACTTTTACACATGCTGGGTAATGCTTATAAAAAATCTGAAGTATCAGGTTGAGGCTGTCCAAAGCAAAGACAAACAGCCAGCCATAAACATATCTTGTTTGGGCCGGCCCGTGGCTCACTCGGGAGAGTGCGGTGCTGATAACACCAAGGCCCTGGGTTCGGATCCCACATAGGGATGAACACCAAGGCCCTGGGTTCGGATCCCACATAGGGATGAACACCAAGGCCCTGGGTTCGGATCCCACATAGGGATGAACACCAAGGCCCTGGGTTCGGATCCCACATAGGGATGGCCGGCTGGCTCACTGGCTGAGTGTGGTGCTGACAACACCAAGCCAAGGGTTAAGATCCCCTTACCGGACATCTTTAAAAAAAAAAAAAAACATATCTTGTTTAAAAGAACCAAAACAAACAGGCTTCTTCTTAGATATATACCTGTTTCTTCTAAGAATTAAATCTAACTTAATACAATAAAAAAAATTAGGTGTTGAAAAGTTAGTGCAGGAAAACACTCCTACTTCTATGTCCAATGAGACTATTATTCAATAAAACCTCAATTAACAAAGGCAATACATGCCAATCACACTTAACGAAAATGTGTCAAGATACTTTGCAGAGACAGAAATTAGTTCACTATGAGAGAGGGAAATGGGAATACCACAGAGAGGTATTGTCAAATGTTTTACACACACACACACACACACACACACACACACACACATGCTGTATCTAAGTGGAATTGGATTTATCTGTCGCCTATATAAAAAATCCCTTCCAAGGCCAAATATAGTGTCTAATGTTTAGAGAGTACTGTACTTAGATACTTGTTTTATCTCTGGGGATATTTTAGTGAAATAATAAAACCAAAAAGTTAAGGCCTGACTTGGAACAACTGAGAGCTAAGTGTAAGCATTCCCACTTGACCCCACTTTTCCAATTCTGCCTTCTGCCGCATTCCTAATAGAGAATGGTACATGCATGGTCACAAATAATACCACTCTGATGGTAAACGCTGCCCTTGCAGACATTGCCCCTATAATCTTCCTTAGGCTTCTTGTGGATTAGAGTAAAAAAGGCCTTTGTACGCACATCCAAATACATTGTTAAACAAATCTCATAAAGACAGTAAGTTGAAACAAGGCTTGCTTTCAGAACGTTGTGAAGTATTTCGTCATACCATTAGACTCCGCGAAGTAAGAACTTACCAGAGCCACTGCCTGCCTCCTTGTTTGAGATGGCACTTGCAGATGGGAGCAGATGATGCACCTGTGCCTGCTGGTCGGAACGGCTGCTGCCATTTGGGATGTTTTTGTTCCACATGTTCACATTTTTGTAGTTGTATTTGCTTGGATCTCCCCAAGCTGAAGTTCCATCATCAATCTCCATTTTGCGACGTATAGATTCTGGGGATGGTTCCTCCCAGCCTGTGGGTTCTTCTTCCTTTGTTGGGGCTGGTATAGGTCCCCCCAGCCAGCCTGTACCAGGAGGTTTGCCTGTAACTGGTGGGATTCCCCAAGATCCAACAATGTCTTGTTGCTTATTCCAGTCTGGAGAACTGACTGGCTTTGACGAAGAATCTCCCCAACCTACAGACTGATTAGACTTTGGAGGGTCTCCCCATCCCTGGGAAGGATTAGGTTTAGAAGATTCATCCCATCCTGATGAATTATTTGGATTTATGTTATTTCCCCAAGTAAAAGAACTAGTTTTACCAAGTTCGTTCCAACCAGAAACAGATCTGTCACTGTCACTACCTCCTGAGCTGGATTTCTTATTGGCTTCACCCCAATGGTTACTCCGTGAAGTTTCTCCCCAGTTATCACTGGCAGAAGCAGACCAGCCTGGGTTTGATTTTTGCCCGTCACCCCATCCCTGTTTGCTCTTTTGCGAATCATTCCATGCCGACTTCTCTTCTTTGCAACTCCCCCACTGATTGCTCTTGATCATTCCTGTAGCAGCAGAATCATCTTCCCACCCCCCCTGGCAGTTTGAGCCTTTGGAATCTCCCCACCTCAGAGTAGGTTTGGGATCACCCCACCCCGATACAGATGAGGTATCATTACTGTTAGGGCTAGTCTTATCTATACATGCCCCTGAGTTAAAAGTCTGTGTTGCAGAGCTTCCCCAGGCCTCTGTCCCATTGTCAGTCTTTCTCTCCCCTCTAGGTGATGTTTCTGTATCCCAGGCAGTATTCTGCTTAATAGGAGTCTGTCCCCAACCAGAGTTAGATAGGACACGTGGATCTAAGTCAGTTCTGTTTACAATGCTTTGGAGTAACGTGTGCTGATCAATTTTTCTTCTGTCTCTACTCTGACCTTCCCCAGTTCCTTTTTCCTCAAGGCGTCCAGTGCTTTCTGTACTACCATCACTCTCCACTGTACCACCTCCTGTTTTGGCCCACACACTGTTTTGCTCATTTGTCTGAGATGTGGCAGAACCCTGATCCTCTTCCTCAGTAGATTTCCATCCATTTGTAAACTTCTTACCATTGCCATTTGCACTGTCATTGGAATGCTGATTGCTAGGCAGTTTGTTCCACTCAATGCTGGGTAGATTAGTGCCAGTGTTTTGTGCAGGGGCTCCCCATCCTCTTCGACTTCCTCCAGAATTCGCACCATTTCCACTTCCCCATGATGTACTCTGGGAATTTGATACCCCAGACTCCCACACACCTCCTCCTTTGTTTGTATTAACTTGAAAGTTAGTGCCCAAAGGCCCATTTACACCAGGCTGCATTAGAGTTGCATTCACAGTGTCACCATTAGCTTGGCCATTAGGGCCTGAACATTTGTCTCCAGAGTAATTAGAACCATAGGCACCCCATGTAGTACCGTAAGAGCCTCCGCTTTTTGACTCTCCATTGCTAAGATGAGAAAGGGAGGTGCCATTCATAACTGATGGAGCCTGTATCTGAGGATGATTCATTGTGCTCACACACCAGGCCCCTGAATTACTACTAGGCAGTTCGTTATTCTGTATTGAACCAGAGTTTGGTAAACTAGAGGTCATAAAGTTAGTAGTGTTATTTGGTCCAGTCATTTCAGTGGTAATATTCTGAGGTTGACCACTGAATGAAACCTTCTGTGTACCACTTACTTCAGATTCACAAGTTTCCTGAAGGCTTCCCCAGGTACCATGGGTAGAAGAACCACTTGCTTTAGAGTTAATACTCTGATTGTTAGGCATCTGGCCTATGGTACTGCACTGAATATTGATGCCAGAACTACCACTCCCTACAGGCCCTTTTAGGGCGAGTCCATTGTTCTCTAATACTGGCCAGGCACCATGGTTGCTAGCTGAATTCAAAGTGCTTGGATTTAACCCTCCATTTGATGAAGAACTTACAGTGCCCCAAGCATTCATTCTATTGTTGCTACTTTCTGACTTGCTTTCAGGAGCATCCGCAGAGACCTGACATGTGCTTATTATGGCTCCATGGGAAAAAGCCCATGGCCCAGTACTACTTCCATGGCCCACATTATTGCTGCTACTACCAACCACAAACTTGTTTTGGGAACCAAGTCCAGTGCTACTCCGAAGGCCATCTTTTTCACCACCTGTGCTCCCTGAAGCCATGATAGTGATGTTTTTCTCTGATTCAGAACTGGAGGCAGAATCAGCATCCATACATTCTGAAGCCAACTCTGGATCACTGCCAGGGACTGAGGGCCATGCTTCTTTTTCAGACAAATCGTTTACAATAGCATTCTTACAGTTTGTGCTAGAGTCAGTCGTAGAAGATGCAGGTCCCCGATGGGAATTTTCATAATGGGACCCTGAAGTATTGTGGTTTATATCTAGAATAAAGGAGAACAACTATTTATAAAGTGTTAGCCATTTTCAAAATGACAATAATCTAAGAAAAACAGTGAATATATTATAAATATATGTGGCTCCTCAACTCTATCAGCTCTAACAGCATATGACACTTGGCAGTATGGTTACAAGGGCACTGGTTTTCTTCCAGCCATCAACTTTCCATATCCAGTCATTCCACACAGGCAGGGAATTCTGCTGCTTTGTTCACGGAGGTTATCCTAAGACTCTAGAGCAGTGCCTGGAACATAACAGCCCCTCAATAAATATTTGCTGAATGAAAAAGTTAACATATCAGCAAGTAAAAGAATTTTGGAATCAGAAGGCAACTGGGTGATAGTGACGTATTAGGATAATGGGACAACCCAGTTCAAGAGCTTGACTTGGGAGAGAAGGGGCTTGGTTGTAGTGGGTAAGGATAAGTAAATAGCCCAAACTTGATGAAAAGTATCAGGAATCTGTTTGCATCCTGTTTCCTAGAACAGCTTTTCCACAACTGTTTTGGGTATTATAACAAGTTTATAAGAATTCCAAAGCCTTTTCCATTCTATTTCCATTTCATTAGTGTTCATGTTCAACCTGAAATATGGCACGCAAGTAAGAATACTTTTAGTTCAACTCCCCTTAGTATTTTTATTTACCTTCACAGCCATGTTTATTAAAAGAAACAACAGAAACATAATGGTTAATTGATGTTAAAAATCACAAAATTACGATAAAAAAAAATCAACTGCTTACATTGACGGCCACTGATGACCAGTCATATAATCCTACAATCTTAGACTTGCTATATATTATTATCTAGTTATTTCAACACAGACAGGGAGGGCAGTTTTAGGGCTTCTGCTAGTTCCCCAGATTCTTCACTGTCATTCGATTTAAGGATCTGATAGACATTCCCCAGAGATATTAACATGCATAACATGTTTGCATTTAGACTATCTTGGGAGCAGGGGTGGGGTGGGGTGGGGAGGTGCTTATACTGTAGTTCTCTACTAGAGTAGGAATCAGAATCACATGCAGTACTTTCAAATACACATGCTCAAGTCATGGCCCAGACCTAATGAACCAACCTCCAGGGGCTGTATGCCTAGGAAACAAATGTAAGTCACTATCAGGGTTTATTTGCTAATATGGAAAATCAGATTCAACTTGCATCACTTTCTTTCAAAGCACAATTGTTAAGAATCAAAGGTTTATGAGCTGGAAAGAATGGCAGCAAGAGGGACTAGAGAGAGACCAGACATGTATATACAATTCACCAAATATGTAAAGTTCCACAAGTGGCTCTGATTTCTGTTCCTTGTTTAAGAATCATTTCTTTAAACTGGCAAATAAAGTTTGTCCTCTCTCAGTGCCCAAGAGGAGGATTTCTCATGAAATAAAGGATATCACAAAGTCAGTCTCACTGGATAAAAACAAATCAACACAACAGCACCATCGGCAACGTCAACTAATGTTAGGCATTCAGCCACATGTTTCATGAGCTTTATACATGTTTTTATCACTAAGTCTTTGGAACAACCCTGGAACACAGGTATTACCTTCACTTTGCAGATGAGGAAATCAAGGTTCAGAGGTTAACTTGTAGAAAATCAAGTGAAAAGGAAGGATTCATCACGATCCTTGATAAAGCAACATGGCTGGGACTCTCGAGACACCTAAATTCAAGTCTAGACTCAATGTAGTAACAGTATGACTAAATCTGAAAAATGAGGAAACAGTTCTCCTTAACCTGGTTGTTTTGTTAACCGTACTTTCATATGTAAAGCATTTAGCTCAGTGCTGGCTGCAAATAAGTGCTCCATAAGAGGCGGTTTTATGTAGAGATTAAAAGTACAGACTCTAGAGCCAGACTGCTTAAGGTTTAAGAGACACTCTACCATTTACTAGCTAAGTGACCACAGGAAAGATCCTCAATCTTTGTGACTTAGGTTCCTCATCAATAATGTAGGAACAATATTACCAATCTCACACAATTGCTGTGAAGATTAAATGATTAGTAATTTTTTTGGCACTGGCTCGTACACGGATCTGAATAAATGATTAATAATTAAAAGTGCTTTGAACCATATCTAGTCCAGATAAGGTGTTAATAAAGGAGGGCCACTATCACCATTAATGCATGCTAATGATTATCGTTATTGTTCAGTGCTATCTACAAAGCACAAGTTTTTCTCTCCACCATGTCGCCACCATGAAGAACAAAATGAGTAATCATGTAACCACCTACTTAAAAATCTCTACCTATCTCAAACAGAATGTTAACTACTAGATGTACATACCCACAGACACCTCCTACCAAAAGGGGAAAAGTTTTGCTTCTTTGCTAATTTTCTTCATCTCAGTACGTTTCCTCAAACCTAAGATTTACTCTTTGTTTTTGTTTTTGGGGGATTGGGGGGGACACGCAGCTGGCCAGTACAGGGATCTGAACCCCTATGATTTATTCTTTACTCTTCCCTGTGCATAGCAAATCCAAAACATCACCAAGTCCCAAATCCATACACTTTTACCCAAATCTAAAACAGTCCCAGGCCGATCTGTGGCTCACTTGGGAGAGTGTGGTGCTGATAACACCAAGGCCACGGGTTCGGATCCGTATATAGGGATGGCCGGTTAGCTGACTTCAGAGAGCATGGTGCTGACAACACCAAGTCAAGGGTTAACATCCCCTTACCAGTCATCTTTAAAAAAAAATAAAAGCAGTCCAGCCATCATCATCATCATCTTCCTTTCCTGGACTAATGCAAAAGTATTTCGGCTGCCATTATTTGCTTGTGTGTGCACACACCTCTGTGTGTGTGTGTGTGTGTGTGTTTCCACTTCTATAAGTCAGGAGTAAGAACATAAGATTGGGCATCTAACCAAAACCACCCAAGTTGAAAATAAAGGAATGGACCCAGAATTTAACAGCAAAACACCAGAAGCAGTCCCATAATGACAGGAAAAAAACAGGAATAATTGTCATCAACATCGCTATTCAACCCAAGTACTAACCGATGAAATACGAACAAAAACTGAGGTAAAGATAATGGAAGAGAGACAAAAAAAGACCAACATGTAAAAAATAACAGTTTTCCTATATACCAGCAACAGTAAATGAGAAAATGTGATGGAAAAAAGATTTGAATCATCAACAGCCACAAAACATCTTGGAATAAAGCTAACAAAAATACTTAAAGTCCTATATGATTAAATTTTACTGCAGGCCACAGAAGACGACCTGATTAAGTATAGAAACTTGTTCTTAGATAGAAAAATGTAGCAATGCTCTAAGTTTAACTCAATTATTAAAAAATTGTTGTCTGGGGCCGGCCCGGTGGCGCACTGGATAAGTGCGCCGCTTGGGAAGCGCGGTGGCGCTCCCGCCCGAGGGTTCGGATCCCACATACAGACCGGTTCCCGCTCACTGGCTGAGCGAGGCGCGGGAGCAACCCCGAGGGTTGCGATCCCGTTGCCGGTCCCCGGTCTGGTACGGGGGCAACACTGAGGGTTGCAATCCGTTGCCGGACATGGAAAAAGACAAAAGACAAAAAAAAAAAAAAAAATTGTTGTCTGAAATACAATTAGAAGTGATTTTAAAATTCATGTAGAATAAATGGGAGAAACCCCTCCCCCCCCAAAATCTCAAGAAACAGTTTAGAAGGTAGAGAATCTACATTATCATGCGACAGTTAAACAGCATTGTACTGCCAGAGTATATAAGTACTTCAATTGAAAATAAAAAGTAACCCAGAAACAGATCCAAGTATATGTCCAAGATAATACATCAAAGGTAGTCATTTTAAACCAGTGGGGGAAGGGCTACCCGGTTAGCTCGGTTGGTTAGAGAGAGGTGTTATAACACCAAGGTCAAGGGTTCGAATCCCCATACCAGCCAGCCACCCACCAAAAAAAAAAAAAAAATCAGTGGGGAGAAAGAAATATTCGATACTTGAAAAATATTTTTTAATTGAGACAACATATCAAAAATTATTTCAATGATTAAAGTGTTAATAGTAAAAGATGAAACCATAAAGTTATCAGTGAATAAGAATTTTTATACATAAAAGCAAAGAAAGAAACCATTTTAAAAAATGACAGATTTGACTACATATTAAAAGAAAATACATAATGTCAGAATACATAAAAAGCCAAGTTGGCAGAAGGCCAGTATGGGAATCTGAACCCCTGCCCTTGGTGTTACAACACCTCACTCTAACCAAATGAGCTAATCCAGCCAACCCTCTGTCACCTTTAATGTTAGTGGGAAATGTTCTCAGATTCTGGTCATGACCTAGTTTGGAGGTGGTGGTGGTCTAAGTTTGTCTTTTGCTATATCTTCCTATGTATTTTAGGAAAATGCAGAGAGGTACCATCAGTAATTATTAGCCAAAATTATATTTTCAATTTGGAGCCTACTTGATACTTTCAATAAAGCCTAAATTAAAGACTATTTCAAAACCTGGGTTATCAAGGGTGAGTCAAAAAGCATTTGTGGTTATGAAAAACGTTATAGTTTAGAAAGAAAGACTAAAAAAGCGCTGAAGGGGGTAGCAGACGCTATTCTAACTGAAGGAGTGGAAAGAACAAAGCTCCTCAGTAATCATAACTAAAATGCTTCAGAGTAGAGACTATCTCAGAATTGGAAAAAATCAAATAATGTATTTCCCTTACAGACAAGGAAGCTAAAACCCACTGTTCTAAATGATCTGGAGGAAAATGGACAGGAACATCATTAAGCAGATTATCACTAAGCTTTCCCAAGAAATAGTGAGAAAAAGTACGACTTAAAATCCCTGTGCTAGTGGGAGAAAATGGGGCAGTTGAGTTCTGAGTGTAAAGCAAAATGCAGATTTTTATACACTACAATGCCGTAGGCAAATTAAGATTTGGAAGATTGCACATTACTTAGAAACATGTGAATCCAAAATATCATCAGCATCCTACTCTCATGCAAAATTAGTATAGGAGAATTGGGGGCAGTTCTAGTACTACA